GGGGGGGGGGGGGGGGGGGGGGGGCAGGGAGAACAGTAGAGAAGGAGAGGGGGTGAATGTCATACCGCAGTGAGAAGAAGGACAGGGCTAACTAGCCGGTGGTGCAGAATCGATTTGATGCCCCAGTTACTGGCTACGATAGCTGAGCTGGGACGGAAGGAATGCTGGGATGGTTAGAGAGAGAGAGAGAGAGAGAGAGAGAGAGAGAGAGAGAGAGAGAGAAGGGTGAAAGGTGAAGGGTGGAGCTGGCACCGCTACTGCCTGCTGGTTGGTGGCGGAAGGTGGCGGCGGGTTCCTGGTGGTTGGTGGTTCGCTCTCGGGACGTGAATCTCAGAGCGAGGGCAGGCATTGAGCTAGATGCTCTTTCTGCCTGCCGAGGCAGGAGAGGCGGGAGACCGTGGCCCTGGACCAGCGTCTTACCTCTTCGCGAGAGTTCGCCCCTGTAGCTGCTCGGGGTCGCCAGGACTCTAACCTAGATTGGTACACAGCTTGTGGAATGGGGGGGAGTATTGCTGTCGGGACGATGCTTCTTCTTGGGGTGGGGGGGATCTTGGACGCAGTTGCAATCTGGGATGCTGCGATTTATACTCCTGGCACTCTGTTAACTTAACAAGGTCGCGCCATTAATGATTGTTTCTATATGAAGCTCTTTTTATTTTAAATTATACTTATCCTCAGAATCGAGTTAGTCATGAGAGTAAGAAAAATCATTGACCGTGACTTTTCGATATTTTCTATCTATTGACCCAATAACGTGATTCTGCGACGATTAAGCTACTTTGACGTAATCGTGTAATTTGACGCGCACAGGTGCATGGCCTCTTACGTATTTATTACGTAACAATCGGGTAGACCGCAGCGTCCGTTTCATCGCGAGATACCCGACGATGCCAATGGCGTCACCGACGACGCCGACGTCGATTCAGAGCCGCCGTCCGATGGACTGGGGCGCGGAAGCGGGGTTCGAGGCCAACTCCGTGGGGTGGGTCAGGGTTAGTGTCGGAGGTTAGGTTCTCTCTGCTCGGCGACCGGAGAGAGTGGACCAGCCAGTCGATCGATAATGCACGTACGAGTTTGCTGGAAACCAGTGTTTTTATGCATCTCAGGTTTGCGCGCATAAATTTGACATTGAAATTTTAATGATGGAAATAAAAAATTTTTTCGTTAATAAAAAATTATACTTCCTTGAATAAAGTTCACCGATCGGATTCGTATTGTTGTTTTCGGGAGCCACCAAGGACTCGTAAAGAGTATATCACGTAACCGTTTGAACGTTACTCGAAAATAATATTTTCACGTATCAGGTGCGTACCAACCTCGGCGTGGTACCCGGCTCCTTAACACGTTATTAATAACCCGAGCGGGCGAACCCGAAGGCACCTGACCTTTCTCGCGACACAGCTCGTCAGAGCTCCTTCCAATAAGCCGCCCACGTGTTTCAACGTGACCGAGATTCGAGTCGGGTTTCCAAGTACACTGGCAATAAATTCCCTAGGATTTCCATCGTAGACGAAACGCGTACAAGGACTGCTAGTTTGATCGGTCTGAATGTCGCGTTAAAAATTTCGTTGGTTGGCTAACCTGTTATTAATAAAGTATAGGTCAGTCGGTTCGCACGGCTCTCACTGCGGATGGTACTAAACAAGAGAACCACGTTCACCGGGCAAACCGGGTTGTCGGACACGCGTGTCACGTACACTCAGCGACGGGCGAGCCAAGACGTTGTGTTGGCTGCCTGCGTAGTCGCGAGGCTCGTAAACATAAAAGACAAGGATACAGAGATAACTCCAACCCTAAAGTAATCGTTATTCTCGTACTCGGAATACGATCGTTTCTAGACTGAATGCGAAAGTGGCTGAACGTGAGCTCTTCGATTTTGAGGTTGGAATACGAGACCAATCTTAAGATCGAGATTTCGCATAAAACGCGAGACTTACGTTTTACGTGTACGTAATTAAAGTGAAAAAAGATTTTAGAAAATTTTTTTTATTTATCCCCATAAATTATCTCGTACCGGTTTATGTGAAATTTTTCAAAATTTTCATTCGGTCACGTGTTCGCTGCTCCGATTTCTCGATCAAGGTCAAACTGTCACGAGCCGAAATTCCGAACTGGGGTCAACGACACATAATTGACAGCGCAAATATTATGACGCAACGTGATTTCTTTCTGTCACGGCGTGTGGCTTCAATTACATGGAGAATTCGCGTCACGGGTTCGCGATGGGAACCAACGAAGAGTGCGTCGAACTGCGAACACACTTATTTAGCCGTGTTACCCAAATGATCGTCTTACTTAACCCACTGTCTCGTTTGATATCTATGAGACTTTTCAAGCGTCCTAGGTGCACACGTGTAATTTGCGAATTCGACAGCTACCGGTTTTATACGTCGGGACTTTGATTTTTCGGTGACGCCAGGCTAGGACGCGGGCTCAGTGACACGAGGAGAAATAAAGAAAGTTGTCGGAGGAGTTGCGAGATCATTGCGTCATGGAATGACTGAGTTGGTTGGTCGGTTGGCTTACTCTATCTTGGATAGGGGATTTCAGGTATAAGGCGGAGCGAGGAAAGGCTGGCGAAGTGAAGTAATGGCCGAGGTATACGGTGTCAGGAACCGGACGCGGCAGCCTCTGACTCCGCGTAGAACCGACAACGGTACTGCGTGATCGGAATTCATATTGGTCATCCAAGTTCCTGCCGCTTTTATTCCTCGTGGTCTATCCGTATGTCTATACGTCACGTTCCACCTGGATGTTACCGAGGTACTGTACTACCGGAGTCCCAGTTTGATCGTCGATTGAGTCGTACGTCAAGACCGGTCGCGATATGCCGCAGTACCTTCATGAACCGGTGACAGTCTGAGGTTGTAAATCTTCCTAGCAAGAAAATTCGATCGGAAGGATTGACAAGGATTTTCTCTCTCTTTTGGGGATAGTGGGCCAGTGGTGCATACCTATCGACATATATATATATATATTCTTAATAAGCTACGTGATAAACAAGCGGGTCCGATTCGAGGCGACTGCGCGCCGTTCGTTTTTTGGGGCCAGTCCGAGTTCTTAGCTGCGTAGAAAGTTGGGGCCCCGGACCTTATCCCCTCTCGTTCTCCCATGGCCCCTCATCCGGTACCTACTCACGGCTTTCGAGCTCTGGTGGGGGTCCCTGGTCCCACAGTTTCGGCAACTGCGTCACGGTACCAGGTTCGCGCCGTGTGGCTACCGTTAGTACGTCTTCAGATTTTTGACGTTTCCGTCACCGACGCACCGATCTCTGTCGGACTTCTTCAGTGGTGTCTCCATTGATCAATTATACCTTCGTTAAATCGACGTCGGGTTTACGTTTAGCTAGATGCTGTCGGGATCGCGAAAATAGATTGGTGGCTGGTACCATATGAGAGCGAAGCGGCGGTACCACGTGACAGGCGGGAATTTTAAACTGTTTCGTGGAGCTTTTCGATTAATCTGACGATCTTGATTATATGTTTGTTATTATTATTATACTTCGGTATTGTGCTAATGGGATTGGTCACGGTGTCGTGTTACAGATACCTCAGAAGACAGACGGGTGTATAGTCCCGGAGGACAGTATGCAAAGGGAGAGATTGGACGCTCACGTAAAGATGCGATAGGATTTCGAGATCATCGTAAGAGGATCACCGAAGAATCGCCGTAGGATCTGACAGGTCTCTCTCTCGTGGCCAGAGAAAGCAATTCCGCAGGATTCTGCGGGACGAGAGAGCCGCTCCCATTGGTCGAGTCGAGTCTCAAGGTCTCAACGGCGGAAAAGTAGCAGAAGCAACAAAGCAAGAAGCATCGGCAGCCGAGCCGGCCAGCAGCGCCGCCGCCAGAAGCAGAAGCATCGGGCGACGTTAGCGTGGCGAAGATAATCAATGTGAAATCTCGAGCGTGCGTCTATGCGGGCTGAGAGAGACGGATAGTAAGATCGAGAGAAAGGAGAGGAAAATAAAGGGACGTAGTAAGACACGGGGAAAGAATCTCGTGCTTCGGGTGTTGGAGGTTGGAGGGGGACTTTTATTTTTCGTTTAACCAGAGACGTCACCGGGAAGGACCCAAGGGGATCGAAGACCCGCACGGGGATCAAAAGGTGGGTTCGGTGCGGGAAATACTTGGCGCATGCCGGGATAATCGAGAGTCGCAGGCCAGGGGGCAGCAAGTGCCGAGTGACGAAGGGAGGGAAGAGGGTAGGGAGGGGGCTACGGGAGGGAAGAAAGGGCGAAGTGGCAAGGTGAACGAAGTGGTGTGTGAGAAGTGGTGTTTGAAGTGAACAGTGAGGAAGGTGCGGTGGCTCGTGGAGCGTACGAGGAATTTTTGGCGGAAAGGGAGCAGAGTCATAAGGCAGGACTCGCTGGTGAAAAAGGAAGTAGAGACGGTAGCAGGTCAGGGCCGGCGAGAGTGCGCAGGGCGGGGGGAGAACTCGAGTCACGGTGGCCAGCTTAGTGAGCGGCAGCGTCGCGGTGCGGTACGATGAGGCGTCGGGGGTGGTGGGGGCGGGGGGTGTCGTACTGGCCCCCGCTACCAGGTTAGCTCCCTCGAGTATGGAGACTTCCGAGGGTCCGAACAGTGGGCCCGCCGGGGCCTGTATCAAGGCTGAAACCCCTGAGCACCTTGCTGGCACCTCGACCGTCTCTGGCACCCCGGTGACCACCGTCACCGGCTCGGTCGGTGGCAGCAGAGGACTCTTTGCCGGGATCGCCAGCAGCAACAAGCGACCGCGACCGGACGACTGGCTTGCCCCCAATAGCCCAAGCTCGCCCCAAGGACCCCTGCCGAATCAGCATCTGATCTATACCACGCCGCAGCAGCAACTTCAGCAGCAGCAGCAACAGCCACCGGCGGCTCACTCGAATCCTCAGGTTCAGAGCCAGCAACCACCGCCGCCGCCTCCGAATAACAATGGCTACGCGAGTCCCATGAGCTCGGGCAGCTACGATCCTTATAGTCCCAACGGTAAAATAGGTGAGTGCCCCATTATATTTTATTGTATCATTTTTCACCCACTGCTCGGATAACGATCTCATTCTTTATCCTTCTCGCCCTACCGTTCCTCGAACTTCTTACTCCCACACCGTTATCGTTACGTGTAGCCGCGTGCGAAGGATACTTTCCACTTGGTTTACGTTCGACGTTTGGATTGGGTAGCCGCGCTCGGGATCGCATTTCGAAGACTCTTGACTTTCTCTTCGTACTCGCGACCCACCGCGAACCTACTGCCTACGGCGATGACTGCCATATTTTTATATCCTCCCCTTACCCCGAATCCCACTCGATCCTCTTGCCACACGAGATTCGTTGTTGGTCCTTTCGACAATTCTTCGTAACCTCAAATGTCCTTAAACTTTCAATTAGACTGTATATAGAGTTTCAATGCGCGTGAAAGGTATAAGGGACTGCGCATGCGCGGTCCGAGCATAATCGGTAACCGGTATTATCAGTAAGACACTGTGTCACAGATCTACCGGTCTAGTTGTTACGGACGAGAACCGTCCGGCGTGGCCTAGATGCATCGCGGACCCTGCCCGCGCATGCGCAGGAGCTGCGCGCACCGCGTGCGCAGAAGTCAGCCATGCCCGACGGCGAGTCACGTGAATCATCACGCGTCGGTCAATTTGAAATATTCCCGTCTCTCGCCATATACACGGCGGCTCGCACGCTTCGTGAATGCACGCTCCACAGTTTACCAGCCGACGGGGGACAACAAAAAGAGAGCAAAACGTAATTGGCTGTGGCTACGGATGTGATGTCACCTCCAATGCAGAACTGCACTTCCGCCTATGAGCCACTCGACCGCTGAATTACGCTACTGGCATACTGCTCCGTAGCCACGCATACATCGACGGCACTTCTCTTTCTTCTCGGCGCTCTGTTCCCTACAAAAAAAAGAGCCAGTACCCGCACCACTCCCGTACTATCCCCTCCGTAATTATTCTATCCCCTCACCCTAACCTCGTCAATCTCCCCCAATCTGTCTATCCTTATTTCATTCATCAGACCTCTCGATTCTTCGTCCCCGTTGTACGCGCACGTAGGTACCCAATTTCCCTTAGCTTTATTGCAATTAGTCTTTACTTACTCTCGTGACGTCACTTCGCGTATTAAAAGATGGCGTAACCTCCCGAAGGACTCGCACGAAAATGAAACGAAGGCGCTCCGGGAGCAGCGAAGATGCCGATCCATCACTTTCACGGGAGTCAAGATGAAGTCTCGGGATCCGACGAGACGTCGGCGTTTGTCAGAGAAAATCATACAATTCCATTACACGCGGACATTGACTAAAGGATTGCCGCTCCCTGGCAGATTGGATTGAGCAATTGAGCGACTGCAGCATCGCACCACGTTGTAATCAATTGGTGCTTCGTTTAATCGTCCCACTAGTCCATTATTTATCGGTAGACCGAGCTGTACCGAGAGTTAGGTCAGAGTTCAGTCATCTCGGTCTATGCCCAATGACTGGATTACAAACAGGAGTATCTCAGAGCGAATATTTTTTTTTTTTTTTTAGTATTGATCACCTATAAAATTAATCGTTCAATGTCGAGCAAAGTGGAATCGAGATCGTATCGCGAAGACCTGCGCCATTGTTAAATGCGGGTGATTACGATACCAACGCAAAATACCCACATGCTGACAAACTCCCTCGTCACGCAGAGAAGCGTCTCTGTCGCAATTAATGCCTGCCCTCATAATACGCCAAAGGCGGCGGCGCACCTCATTGAACCTACGCCCGTATGAACGAGACCTTAACGACCTTAGCCCGATCCACGGGGCCCGCGTCCTTGGCTCAGGGATCCTCGTGGCTTCGAAATTGGCTAATTGTAAGAAAATCGCGCCCGATCGCACGGAGATCGACCTGAATCTGCCCTCCTACTTAACTCGGGATTCCTACGCTAGATGTCGTCAGCGGTTAACAGGCAAAGTGCAGGATGCAGATATGGCCTTGACTAACATCCCACTGCAGTCTATCTACATGCCCTCGGCTGTGTAAGACACACATGGGTACCTACTCATATGCACCCGGCAGACCGTGTAGTTATCTGCGGATGAAATTACACGCTCGTACGCGCACGTACGCGGAGGAACTGCCTTTGGCGTGTGGAGTTCTGTGGGTGTGGTGATGGATATATCACGTGTGACATATGTGCCACCGTCAGATAGATATCCTTCGACTCCAGTAGAGATCGCGATGCACCGACGACGACGAATGACTGCTGCTTTTTCGTCCCACGCAGACTGCGCACTGGCCCATATGATAATGGTCGGTCTGCGCCTTTGCTATACTTGGAATTGTAGGTCTCCAGGCCCGAGGGACGGCTTAGACGGTTTTACACGAGGGAAACGGGCGCGGGGACGTACGGAACGCCTCTCGGGCTCTCGCGTACTCACGGCTACGTTTGAAAACAGCTCGCGCAACGAACGCACATTCGCTTGCACGCTTCAAAATATACATACGGGGTGTCTTTCACGCTTTCCCTCTCTCGTGTCTGCCGATCGAAGACCCAATGTTTTTTTTTCCTGCTTCGTTTATGCTTCCCGCGGCGCATAAAAGCCTCGAACCCAGCCTACCTTTTTTACGAGGCTCTCCCGTTGCTTCACGGCGGCTGTTCCCGGCGACCTTTTGCTTGCATTTCCGGTGCATCCGGTGGCCTTCCCGGTTACACGTAGACGACGCACTAGCCTCGGAAATGGGAGTGCATCTGTGTCGATGCATCCTGCTACGGCTCCTCCCGCCCCTAACCTCGTCTTTGTCCCTCCGCTAGTCGCTTTTGGCTTTCGCTCCGTAATCGTCTATATCTATGTTACTCGTGCGACAATGAAACCTCGTCTAGTTTAATCCCAAGCAACCTCAGCTCTTTCGTATACCAGGGCTAGGTATTCTTGGAACTCTAATTCTTATTGTACATACAATTTTTCTTAACCTTTTTTTTTTTTTCTTAGCATCCAAGCCATTTTCTAGCTGGATTCTCGCGCGGCTTCTGAATTCTAGAATTATTTATCCCGTACGCGCGTAACGTGACTTCGGACGGGCATATCGTGATACGTTTAACGCCTCGCACTTATCAACGTTCGCTTATCGCTCGGCAGACACTACGAGCGAACTGCGTACACTGGCTGCACTTTGAATTTAAAACTCCATGCCGCTCTTACGTAACGCTCGTTATGCGCGATGCTGCGCACGTTGCGTGAACCTTCGTCCCTGTACGCTTCTATCGACTTTTCTCGGGTTTTTTTTTTGTTTACCTCGTGATTCTCTCTCTCTCTCTCTCTCTCTCTCTCTCTGCTCCCGGAGTCCACGCAGTGCCAACATCAGCGGTCAATTATAGATCCTCTGTCGCTGTCAGGATCATTGGCTTTTATAACGCGCACACGTACACGCGGGCTGCCGTTGATGTAGGTCGTTGGTTCGTAATCAGTCAGACCGTTATCAGCACGTATAGGCGTCTCATGTCTGACCTAGATCATGCAGCGTACATATTGCATTCCGCAAAATTTACCAGCAATCACGTGCGTTTTTCTTTTTTTTTTTTTTTTGTATATGGTTATGTCGATCGCTGCATTTTTTAAAATTATTTTTTAGCTAATTCATACTTTTAAGTGCATTTTTTAATGAAGGAATTTTTCGTGTGCATTTTCGTTTACGCGCTCGTTCCTTTACGTTGGATGTTGTTTTAACGAAAGTATAGGCATCGCACGTTGGTACTTCCGGTTTCGTGAATGCGAATTTGAAAAATGAAGTTTTTTTTTTCTCGCGGCTAACACTTTTCTACGGTATCCAGCGAGCAGACGATAGAGCGGGACTCGCACTAGTCCGCCGGACTCCGAATTAAAGTACGATCGATATGCCTTCTGCTTGACTTGCTAATCGAACGACCGCAGACGCGACTCGACAAGGCAGAAACTTTTAACGCGACAGGCCAACTTCTTTGCATGTGGGTCATCGAGTCTCGCTTTTTCGTCCCTCTTACTTAACCCTAGATATACCTTGTCTAATCTAGCCTGATCTGACTCGACCTCCACTGACCCTTTTTCTCTTCACTCTGACACCAACCCCCTCTGGTCTATTACTTTTCCTTTTTCATTCGGTGACTTCGAGTCGGTAGGGTTGGGGTAAACGAGGTCGCTCACGGCATTATTATTGTTATCAGTTTCACTGACAATGTAAATTGTTGAAGGAATAC